CAAAGGAGGCCGAGATGTGTGAAAATGTAAAGAAAAAGGACTCCAAGTGTTAAGTTGTTAATGATACAGTTGATATTAGAGTTCAAGGAGAGGAAGTAGGTCCACAACATAGGGGACATCACGTAATTTACTGATGGAGAAGTTAGAGCTTCTTAACTCTTGTTTTGTTTCATTCACAGCAAGTGGACTGACTCATCTTGAAATAGAGTAGACTGTATGTCACAAAAATAGGTTGAACATGTGCATGAGTGTTCATGACATCATTATTGATAATAGCGAAAACGTGGAAATAACCCAAATGTCTATCGGTTGAACACATAAATAAAATGTGGTATACATCTATCCAGTGGAAGATTATTCAGCAGTTAAAAAAATGAACTACCGATACATGCTACAACATGGATGTGCCTTGAACATATTAGGCTAAGTGAAATAAGCCAGTTACAAAAGACTGCATATTATAGGATTCAGTGTACATGAAATATCTAGAATAGGCAGATCTAGAAAGACAGAAAGATTAGTGGTTGCTTAGGACCAGGGGAGATAAAGGATTGGGAGCCGATTGCTAAGGGGTATGGGGTTCCTTTTTGAAATAATGAAAATGTTCTAAAATCGATTGTGGTAATGGTTGCTTTGAATATACTAAAAGCCATTGAATCATACCTTTAAATGGATGAATTGTATAATATATGAGTTATAGCTCAAATAAAATTATTATTAAAAAGAAAAAAAAATGGGTTTAAGCCTGAAGGAAGAAGGACAGTAGCTAAGAGAACATCTGGTGGTTATAAACGAGGTTGACTGTCAAAGGCTCAGGTGAATTGTACCCTAGCAGTGTAAGGCCCCTTGATAGATTCTCATATATAGTTCTTAGAGCAATGTTTCTTAATCTAGGGCATTTTTCTCCAATTGTCTTTCCCAACCCTGTGACATTTGAACACCATAAGTATACTGCGTATCTATCTATCTGTTTATGCATGATGGCCTTTTGGTGAACAACAGACCATTGTAATATCCAAGGATTTTTCTCAAGCCCCCTTCTAGGAACCAGTTTTTGCCCCCGCCCCCACCCCAGGGAATGATTTCCTCCTCCTCTGCCCTATATATGTCCTAGAAGATTCACAGCAGGAGGATAGAAGCCAAGCCTGCCCTGGGGTGATGAGTCTCCTGCCTTTCAGACCGAGGCACTTGGTGTCAGGAAATTATGAGATGCTTTGTGTGACCCAGTAACATGACAAACCAACCAGTCTGCCCAAAACCTTGTCCTCGATCTTCTTAGCAGAAGAAAATGAGAAATTTGTATTTATTTTTTCCAATTATTAAACGTTAGCTTTTGGGGGCAGGCAGGGGGACTACCTTAGTGATATCGTGCGGTCAGAGTCGGGTAAACAGCCCACCTTCATCCTCAGTATGGGTTCTAGTTTGATCCTTGAACTCTTTCATGACCTCACTGGGTGATTAAACAAAAATTTTAAAGTATAGAATAATCAAGACACATAAATATGTACATATAAATATATGTGTATGTGTTTATGTATAAAATGCAGTACAAGAATGAAACAAACACTGTAGCCCACACCCAGTCTAAGAACTAGACTCACCAATACCACTGAAGCCATCCGTGAGAATGAGCCATGCCCAGGTATCCATTATCCTGAATTTATCGTTCTCTTGCTTATTTGCTTTTTCAAGCACTGTATGTGTATGTATTTCTTCTAAAGAATGCAGTTTTTGCTAGCTTATTGAGCTTTATCAAGATAGTATCATATGTGATTTATTCTGAGACTTAATTTGTTTACCCAATATTATACCTTTTAAGAGTCAAACATATTGTTGGAAGCAGTGGTAGTTCATTACATTTTTGTTGTTATGTAATATTCTACTGTGCGTGTTTTATTCATCTCTTGTCTCCAGTTTTACTTTGAACGACACTGCTATGAATATTCTATATCTCTCCTGATGTACAAGGCGAGAGTTTTTCTTATGTACTTAGGGATGCACTTGCTGGGTCACTGGGTGATTTACAAATGAGCAAACACAAATTAATTGTATTAATTCAGATGCTTTAGAAAATGTTTTGGCAGAGGATGAGCAGATTAACAGGTGATTTAATAGTAGACTTAGTCTTCTATTCCCAGAAGAGTTGGCGTAGAGCAGACTTAAATTCTAAAGAAGTCGTTTAAAGTCTTCATCAAACTATGAAATTTGAGATCTCACAACCCATTGCCAACTTACGTTATAATATAGTTTTCTTAAGTTTTCTAGACTATAATAATCGTTAATTATCTGGGAGGATTTAATCATAGCTCCTTTTTAGAACAAAATGATTGGGCCTTAAAACTGTGATAAAGTAATGATACTGTTCCTCATATCATCCTTGAAAATCACTTCTATTCCTTCCATGACACAGGTTATCGTTCAAATGTTTTAATAAGCTTTTACATGTTAGATTATGTGATATCATACACTTTGTCCTGTTTTAATATTGATAATGATGGTCTTATTGCAAAACATTGTGAAAATTTACCAGGTATATGTATCATTGTATGTGTATATACATGTATTTGAATGTATTTTAATATAATATCCTATCTTCATTTATTGCTTGGAGGTTTATATTATATGTAGTAGTCTGATTTGGATTTAATTTAATTTTTTTTCCTCCTTAAAGTTTCAGACTCTCTGGCTCAATCTGTAATTCAGCATCTGAGATGGATAATGCAGAAGGATCTTTTGGGGCAAGATGTCTTTCTAATAGGACCTCCTGGGCCTCTTCGACGCTCTATTGCTATGCAGTACCTGGTAAGCAGTCAATTCCTATGCATTCTAAGACTCTTAACTTTGATAAGTTATATTGTAAAAACAGGGGTCCCCAACCCCCAGGCTGTGGACTGGTACCGGTCCTATTAAAAGCCGGGCCGCACAGCAGGAGGTGAGCTGCCAGCAAGCCAGCGAAGCTTCATCTGTGTTTGCAGCCGCTCCCCAGCGCCAGCATCAGCGCCTCAGCTCCACCTCAGATCATCAGGCATTCGATTCTCCTAGGAGCATCAGGCCCTGGTGCCAAAAAGATTGGGGACCGCCGTTGTAAAATAAATCAAGATTAAGAATTTATAAAAATATCAGGATTAGCCATTACTTGAAAAAAATTGTTAATGTTGAAGAATGATTTGTTTACATAAAGAGTTTAGAAGAGTTATTTGGGAAGAAAATGTGTATTTGCCTTTCACAGCTTTAGCCAATTCTTGCTGTAACTAGAAAGTCCTCCACTTCCAGTGGAAAAGAAATGTAAACTCAGTCAATGAGCAGCAAATAGAATCAGCAACTCTGAAATTACAAAACAAAACTTAGTTTTATACTACTTAGGGAACATCTGTTTATCTCAGATCCACATTTTTAAAAGCCAGATAATTTTTTTTACTTTTTGAGGTTAAGTGACCTTTAAAGGGAGCCTAAGGTTTGTAGGTATCTCTTATGTGTTACACGTCCTTTTTTTTTTTAATAGAAGAGAAAGCAAGTTCATTAAATAACTCACTCAGGCTTTGTCAGCTAGTCAATAATGGAGCTAGACTTCAAATCTCATTAGTTTCCTTTTCCCGACATGTCATCTCAAATCTTTACAGTTCTCTGAGCACGGCTGTGATGTGAGTTGAAATATTCAATTCTCAACCCCAAGTAAAAAAATTTACAAGACTTTTTTCTACCGCGTTGTCAGCATTAATAGGCAGTGCTCTAGTGATTAGAGGGAAAATTCTATCAGATGACGTTGTTTTATTCTGAAGATACTTTTTAGGATGAAAAGGAAAACCTTACTTAAAATTTCCTTTTGTTACTTGACATTAAAGAATTAATTTCTATGCTTTTGAAATATAGGTCACATACTCTTCTATGTCAGTGGTGAATTTATTTTGGTACTTCTAAAATCCTGTAGGGCAGGAATCACAATACAGTGAACAAGTCAGAACCTCACTGCCTCTAGCCCATACCTTTCATATCTTTTGTTCACAGAACCAGTTTGTGAGGTGTAATGTGCCATTGTGTGCGTTGTGTCCTCACTGTGTTAATGTACAAGGCCAACGTGTGTTGTTTGAGAATGCAGAGCCAGCTACTGAGGATCCCTGATTTGGAATCTCTTTAATTTTAAGATGTGCACCCCCCTACCTGGCTCATTTCGAAGACCACAGTATCTCACTTTGCTTTTATTTCTGGAAAGACTTTGAAGCTTGTTCAGAAGGAATGTGGAATGACAACCATCACGCTGGTTCAAAAATGCAACATAAGTCTGTAAGCGTGAAGCCTGCATCTTAAAACAAAACAAAACTTTAAATTGTGAATTAGAACTGTGGCAGCTTTAGGATGTGAAAATACACATAAGAAACCTTACTGGCCTGAACTGCCTTGCAGACTCTGCCGTGGGCACCGTCGCCATGCAATACAAGGGCCTATGCTCAGTGCTAGCCACAGTGGGTTAGTTTTTTAAAGGCAGAAATTTGGGGGCAAACCTGCTGAATTAAGGAGAAATTAAGTAGAAGTAATTTGATAGTTGTGTTCATATTTAACTCCTATAAAAAGAGTTAAGTAGATAACACAAAAGCACAGCAGACCACTGCGGCCGCCTCCACCCGCGGCTCTGGAGCTGTGAGCGAGCTTGCTCGGAACGCCTCTGTCAGGAGCGGCTGCAGAGACTCTGGTGCTTGTCTTGGCTGATGACAATCCTGGGATGAAGCTGTCAGGGCCGAGGATCGTATCCTCGCTGTGCAGTTCAGGGTATTACTGTGGTACCTTTTAGTGGTCAGGGGCATGCGTCACTTTGTCAACCAGTGTGAATGAGAGGGTTTTTCGGTGAGTGTGATCACGTTCAGCCAATCCATGACACAGACGTGAAGGTCCAGTGATGTGTTTCAGAAGCAAGAAGGAGGTATCTGGCAAAAAATAACTTGCTCCTTTACTCCAAAGCTGTGCTCTCACAGGCAGTTCATTCTTACTTAGAAAAGCATCATTTGGGATCACCATATCTTCGCCACTGCGATATGTGTTTTCTCTATTTGAAATATTTTTCTTCTTTCCATAAAAGCTTAAATTTATGGGTGCATGGGAACAGGCACAGTTTTTAAAAATAATGACAACAATAATATATTTTTATTAATATCACACGGAGATGCTGTGGAGAAAAAGGTCTTTTTTCTGGAGTATAAAGGAATGAGATGAATGAGCATGCGAATAACGAGCATTAATGGCGTGCCCATTCAGCTTTTTTCTTTACACTCCAGTAAATTCATTTGTTTTCCCTGTTTAGTAAAAACCTCATATGTCTAATTTGATTGGAGAATATCACTGTTTTTAATTCAACATTGTAATAAATCAAGGGTAATGTTAAAAACTTCCACATAGTTGTTACATGTAAGCAACATGACTTTTGGGATGGGTAAATTATTCTAAAAGAAATGGTTTCTGCATATGTGTTTTTTTTGTGTGTGAAAATTCTTTTTTTCCTTCTCCTCCTCCCTCTCCCCTTCCTCTTTTTCATCATTTTTTTTCTTCTTTTCCTTCCTGAACAGCTATGTTTGTGTCTCTCCCTTCTGTTGACCTCCCTGTTGGTATTAATCTTATTTTCACACTTGGTAGAGTACCTAACATATTGCATACAGTTGGTAAACATTGGCTAATTAAAGGAATTAATTTAAATCATCCTTTTAAAAAAAAGATGAACATTACTTGCAGAAATGGCTATCATTTGGGAGAAAACCAAGTAGCCTAATTATTACTCATGATATTTGAAAAGAATTCTATAGGAGACATTAAGATTTATAAGATCCAATTGTGACTATTATTGCTTAAGTAGTAAATAATTATTAAGTGGTAAATTACAGGGTGCAGTAGCAGTAGAGCTCTGAGGAGAGAGACATACATGTTTTGATTAACGCTCAATTTATTGTATTTTTTTGCAAAACTGAGGCTCGAAAATGTTTTAATTCAGAATTACATCTAAATGCCCTTCTCCAGGGCAGGGGCATCGTCAGCTCCAGAGCATGCTGGGAATTTGATTTTACTGTGGAACAATTTCGCTCTCTGCCCTACAGGAGCTGACCAAACGGGAGGTAGAGTACATCTCCTTGTCAAGGGACACCACGGAGAGCGACCTCAAGCAGCGCCGAGAGATCCGTGCGGGCTCGGCTTTCTACATTGACCAGGCGAGTCCTCACGACGCGCAACACGGGTCGGGTTGCTCGCGGTCTACACAGCGCTGATTGTTAAAGTAGAAAGGGAGTAGCTTTTGTAGCAGTGACAGATAGATGCACTGTGCTCTCTTCAGACGGATTCGATGTAGGTTTTTGGTTTTTCTGTTCTTGGAAAATGCCTTCTTGATTTAGTACGAAATCAGAAACTAGATGAAATCAAAGCTTCTGAAATGTTGGTTAAAGATCACGATGCTGATTTCTTAATTTTCAGTTACTTTCTACTACCTGCCTATAGAAATTTGATATTTTAAAAAAAGAATGCTTAAACGACGGTGGAAGAACTGGCTTCGTGCGGTAGAGCACGGATTTAAAAACATTTTTCGATTGAATTTTATATTTGGATTGATTGTCGCAATGTAAACAGTTGGGAGGAGAAAGTGGATTTTTATATGTTTGTAATTTTAAAGACGGCTTAAAACTGGCTATTTAGAAATTTCAGAAATTGAGTTTTTATGTAACTGAATTTATTGATTAAGGTTTACTTCTTGAAACAAATTATTGAGATGAAACTCTGTAATATACCTTCCTGCCATTCTAAAAATCATATTTTCATATATCTATTTTACCAGTTTATAAAATGTTCAAAGTGCTACATAAATGTATGGTAGTATTTCATACTTTTGTGGTTTCTTGGAGAATCCTACCCATTATGAATACCAGTTATTTAGGAAGTTGTGCTGCATTAACACCTTCAAAACCTGTGACTGAGGTGTAGAAATGTTTTTATTCTCTAAGTCGCTTCAGACTATTTATTGAGATTGTATCTGATTTTCATAGTTTTTCTTCTATCTCATTTCCTGGCAGTTAATATTCCTTACTGTTGGTTCATAATCAGATCCTATCCGTTTTTTGCTTAAAGCCACGCAATCTCATCACACCTAGAATAAAATCCAGACCCTTTCATATGGCCTACGACACCTTACAGGACTTGATCTTATCCACTTCATCTTCTTCCCTCTTTGCTTTGCTTTCCGTGCTCCAGTTATGGTGGCCTTGCTCTCTTAACAAGAGACCAAATGCTTTCCAGCCTCAGAGCCTTTGCTCTGTATTATCTTCTCCTAGATCTGTGTATCGCTGCCACCTCATCATTCAGATTATAAATTCTGGGAACATTTTAGCTGAAGTAGTCACTGACCTTGCCCACCCCATTCCGTGTACCGTGCTGTCATGTTACATAGTGTAATCTTCAGAGCACCTATCACTCTATGGATTGGCCTAATTATTTCTTTGTTTTTATGTTTATTGTCTGTCTTCCCCACTAGAATGTAAGTATCTTGCTTATCTCTGGCACCAGAAACTGTCTGGAATATACTTGGCACTTATACTTGATGATAGATTTCTCCTTGGATAATCAACCTCATTAAATTTTAAGGAAGTTGAGAGTAAATGGGCTCTGGATGAGACCAGGGGGCTTTCCAGTGGAAAAGATACCTTTCTTTTTGATATCTGTTTTGAGTCATCAGAATGAATAATACTCATCTGAATTCTTCATGGATGGAAGTTGCCAGTTGATTACCTGCTGGTCATATGTTTGTTAGACTAAAAGATCTTTTTATTTATTGTATTTAGAATTTTTTACTTATTTAATAGTCTTAACTATTGAATTTGATATCTTGGGTCAAGAGAGATGCGGTGTCTTCATTTCCTGTCAGGCGACGCCTCTAACCTAGATGGGCCAGTGAAGGTGAAAAATACTTGTGGCCACCTGGTGGGTGCTGGGAGAGAAGTTTGGGGTTTTCAGTGTGGTCGGCATTGTGTGCACATTTGAGTGATGTCCAAGTAATTACAAAATGACATTTTAGCTGAACACCTTGGCAAAACTCCCAAATCCCAGTTGGAGGTCATGGCCATCGACCACTGCTTATTTTCATGCAGGATTAAGGATGATTGATGAGGTTAGACTTGACTGCTACTCTCCAAGGTCACAAGTAGTTTAATAATTCTGTCGTGGAGAATTTGTATTTTCTTTCGAAATAATGATTATTTTGTCTGATTAATCAAGTCACAAATGCTCAGTTTCTAGATTATATAATATAGTACTTATTAATTAACAAGTATTTATTGAGATGACTGCTATGTGTCGGGCACTATCTAGGTGCAGTGAACAAAAGAAACAGATTCTTTTCATCATAGAGCCTGTGTTTTAGTGGGAAAAACAAAAGAACGATTAAGGTAAGATAGTACAATAAATGCTAAGAGCACATGGAAGAGTATAAAAATTACTGCTCATTTTCTTCTCCCGTCAAGACCAACAGTGTGAATATTTTCTGAATTTCTATCATGTCTATATGCATAGTTATTTAATCATATGTAATTTTTACAAAATGCTGCATACATGTATACAAAGTTTTATAGTCTTTTTTAAGAACCTGGTATTTGATCAGAAGCACCTTCCTGTGACATGAGATATTCCTCAAAAATATGATTTTTAGTGTCCAAATAGTATTTTATCAAATACATATGACATTATTTATTTAACATTCCCATTGTATCCACATTTTTATGTTGTAGGTCATTTGGGTTCTTTCTAAATTTTCACTATTATGAATAACCCTTTGGTGAATGTCATAGCAATCTATATCTTGTTATTATTTCCGATTACTTTTTTAGATTTCAATACTAGAAATATAATTACTAATCAAAAGGTCTGGACATTTTTAAGAGTCTTGATATGTGTTTATTGACAAATTGCTTTCAAGGAAGGCTAGTCTAACTCATACTCTCTTCAGTGCACTATGAGATCGCCTCATGGATTCTTGTCAACACTGAGTGTTTCTGAGTATGTACTTTGCCAAATTGATAGGCTTTAATCTGCATTAAAATTATTAACCAGCTTTAATCCTTTTTATGTTTATTGGCTATTGCTTCTATAAGATGTCAATGAATTGAGCTGGTACAGAAAAGGAGAGAGGTGCTGATTAAATAAGTTACAGTCTGTCAAGAAAACGTTGAAATTTATACCATGCTTGTCTATGTAAATATTTCCCATAACTTAGATATTTGTTGATGTGAAGGTCATTTAAATATTTTTTATGCAATTACTTTGGTAAGCAGATTATGCATTACTTTTAAAGAAGAAGAATTGGTTAAAGAACAGAAATATGAAATTTTATATGACCGATAATTATGACACCCATGGAGAAATAGGAGACTAAGATAATTTTGCTACCATATTAATTTTCATTTGCCTCAGAAGATAAAAAAATATGAAAAAGCCTAAATCACCGATATTCTAACCCTTTAAAAATCTTTTACTATCCTCATTTTTCTTCTTACTTTACTTATTGTCATTCTCATTATTAATTCTGTTTATTGCCATATGACTCCAAAGAGAGGACTTTAAGTCAATATACAGTTGCCTGGATTACTCAAATATGTGCCAATATAAATTAGCTCAGCTACAAATAAATTAGTTTTCATGTCCGACTGACATGAGACTCTCTTTATTCCTAAGATAAAAAGCCAAGATGGGGAATTTCAAATGATTTTAACTATTTTAAGCCAGGAACTCTCTTTTCACATTTGTACCTTGTTAACTTGTTTGACACAATACTGTGAAGTTCTATGATATACAATATATATATTTACTATTAAGTATAAAAATGCACTTTAAACAATTACATAACATTTTAATGTATTCTGTTTTGGATTATTCTTGATTCTCTCTTAGTATTAGAAAAAGTAAGGATTAACTTTTTTAATGCACTGCCTAAATATTACAATAGGTCATCAAAAGCAACTCTTAATAAATTAAGTAACAGTGCCATTGACCAGAAAATAAGATTTTTTTATCTTGTCTAAATTCCTCTTACTTATTTTAGCAAATAGAGAAAAACATTTACTTGTAAACTTTATCCCATTTGTGGATGCTGAAGCCACTTTCCATGTGTAACCACTATTAAAAATTACAAAGCTATCTTTAAGTTCATTCTTAAATTAAGTTTTTGGAATTTGGAAAGTGTCTCCTGCAGAAGCGAGGCTGTTGAGAGTGGCTGAAGTCGGTATTTGCACCAGATCCTTTGCGGCCATATTGTTATGTTCCTGATTGTCACTTGGACAGTTGGAAAAAGTCTGTCTGTGTTTACTCTGGGTGCTGTGTTAGTCACAACCCAGACCTTGGCTGCTTATCATGTTGCCATTTTACACAGGTAAACTCTTACCTACTCACATAATGTTAACTGTTTGGCAGATTTGTATAATTCACTTAAAAAATCAAGGGAGATAGAAAGAACTTTTACTGGAGTCCTCTGTTGTGCCAGGTGCATTCAGTTCCCAAAACAGCCGTAGGAGGGAGCTGACTTCCCCGATTTGTAGGTGAAGTGTCAGAGCCTTAGAGGGCCATGGTCACGCAGCTGATAAATGGCAGCGGTGGGGTTTAAACCAGGATCGGTGGATTCTGGAGTTTCGGTTTCTTCTTCCATTTTCCTCTGCTTCTCTGGAAGAGCAGAGATGATGTCAGGGACGACGGCAATGACTGCAGGATGGTCGTGTTCATAGTAACAGCAGTCTGTTTGAAGGCTTGCTGTGCACCCCCAGGCTCCCTCACTCAGTCTTCAGCATAGTCTGTGAGATAAGCGCGTAGTCAGCGTAGCTTTAGAAAAGGGAGGCTCAGAGAGGTAAACCAGCTGCCCGCAAGCACGCGCAGCAGGTGAGAGCTAGAATGACCAAAGTCAGTCCGCTCCTTTTCTGATATTTTAAAATAAAGAACTCGAAATGTAATTTTCCCCCGTTTTACTTTGGCTTCCTCAGTGCTATTACAATGTAGCCATTTTGAGTAATTGGAAGCTTTTTGGAGTCTATTTTCATTAAATCATAGCTATCTTAATAAAAGTTTATATTTTAATAGGTTCGCGAGCTTTACATTTTTTCCAGTACTGCTTTGACTCATGAACAGTGACGTCGTGCGGTACCCCTTGAGGATACTCTCATTTAGGAAATGAGGACACAGGCCT